AGCTGCAATCTGTCAGACGATTGGCGGAGATAAATAAAAGACATCAATTCTCACACTGATTTCTCACTTTGATGGAACTTTCTAATCTAACAGCACGTAACCGACTGTTAATGAGGATCAAATCGATCAGTGCTTCTTCAGCTGTAGGGCTTAGTGTCTGAGTTTCAATGGATGTTGAGTGAAGGACTGTTCGAAGATAAAAAATAGAAGAGAAACGGTGTGTAGTGTTCATTTCACAAAGACCGACATAACGCAAAAACATACTGCAAAGCAGAACTACGAAACGGTTGCACACACTCGGAAATGAAATGTTCCAACTTTAAGGTGTTCCTCGTTTGATCTACTTTCTCTCATTGGCCCTTTTGATGCAACGGCTTTTGAATGCTGTGCATTCAGGAATAAGATTTGAAAAATTGGGAATTCTGTCCGATTCCCTTGATCAACTATAACATTACACCGAATTCTATCATCTCTGTTACATTCTGTGCAAATATTTAAAGTAAAATATATTATCACTTCTTTAATCTCAGTGTAAATTATCTGATCATTTAATTAACAAAAACATATTTCTGTTGACCTCAGTTATTGACAGAAATATCAATGATTATAACTGTGCTGTCGTCAGTCACCTCACGCCATCTCATTAATCAAATAATTTAGTATTATTCTATATCATCTATTATGTATAGTGGGCGTAATATGAATCTTATTTAGAGCAAAAAACAACGATTTCTAATAATAACTTGATAATTAGCCACACGTTCAGAAAAAAGATGAGTGAAATTCTCATTTTTCAAAAGATTACTACTTTCTATAAATAAAATGAAGTGAAAACAAATCTCTCAACTGTCAATTCATAGAAGGCTGTGCTCCATCTATGAATAAACACTGTAGCCATTCACCGTCTCATTTCACATGAGTTTAGTGGTTGTTTCCTCACAGAATCATCTAGCTCTCACTTCCTCAGTTTATCAATCTATGGATCGCCCGTTAATAATCCTGATTCTTTGAGACTCGACTAGTTATTACTTCCTGTGTATATCGGTCTATGAGACTGTGGTGAATCATCCTGGTGATAAAATCCACATCACGTTCTGTGTTCCATTTTATATCAATCACTGTGGCGGATAAACTCATCCTCATCCGATATTCTGAATAAACACATTTTACCATTGACCAAATGTATGTTTTCACTGAATATTGATTATGGTTGCATATCATAGTTCAATGTGAGCGATCAAAGTTTACGTGAGGTTGAATACATTTTGACATGTCATTTGGTGCTGAAGTTTGCCCTCACTTTTCCATAGACTTGAAATGCGCTCTTTTGCAAAGAAGCATTCGCAGTTGAATATTTAAATAGCATGTCAGGTTTGCATTGTCTTGCCAATCTCAGATTCATCGTTTTGGATGATTTTATTAAGGAGATAATTTAATTGAGCTAGACAATGTTCGGTGTTTGTAGACTGTCGGCAGAAAATCGTGTAGTCCGGTTTCATAGTAGTTCGTACAAGTCGGTATGTTATACTCTCAATCTTGAAGAAACCAATACTCCTCGTGTAATTCAAACTCATGTCAGTCAATTTCGCAGTATGAAGATTTACTGCTACGTTACTGTAAACACAACTGACATCGTGTAGGACAGAGATGTTTATATTTATTGATCAACGCACAATTGTTGATGTCCTGTTTGTCTAGGAATTAAATACTGATGGAATTCCATCAATCAGGTTTTCTACCTTTACTACTTATTAGCAACTAGTTATTATGAACTAATGATTCCCTTGTACTTGTTGACTGCTTGATTTCCAATTCCAATACAATACTTTCGTTCGTGCTGATCTATCTGTTCTTGGTTTTATTGCATTATTCCTGGGATTCCTGGTTCGTACCACGATTGAAATACTCTCAATCATCACATTTGCGTCCCAATGGAGCCTGTGATAGAACGGTTGAACATACACTCAGATTTGATGCTTTTGCGAATTACATGGAAAGGCTGGAAATCTGGACTATAACCAAGGACGTAGTTGAGGATGTCAATATTGTGGCTCATTTACTTCCATTCATCCGAAAGGAAGCATACAGCGAAATGAAGACATTTGCATCTGCTGTCAAGCCTATTTCTCTTCGTTATGCAACTCTGAGGCAACTGCTACTAGACCATATAATCTATTGAAATTTCGAATGCGTTGAAAGCGTAAATGTTCCTCAAATGATTCGTCAAAACGTCAGGAGTCGCACAACTTTACGCCGTCACAGTGCAGTGCGTAATCGAGCTTATTCAGATAAAAGATCATTGAGTTGTGAGACAGTTACAAAGATGAGTGCAAGTTTGGTAAATGTTTGTTCTGTGGCAAGTTTCACGCATATCATTCATGTGTATTTCGTAATTTGAAATGTTCATTATTCTGCAGGTAATATTCAGTTGTGTAGTTCTGATCCTACGCAGTTGATGATTTCCAACGATAGTTTGTTTTAGTGAACCATGTTCTGACTTTTATCCGATCGTTTGAATGTCTGTTATCGCTTATCGTCTTACATAATCATCGACTTATATCGTGTTACTCACTATGGAATTGAATAAGTCAAATAACGAGAATGGACTTGTGAATACATATATTTTGTATAAAAAGCGAATGGAATAAGAGAAAAGAAAGGAATCAGAGTGGAGATGGCTGGTATCATAACTCCCATTCAACCAAGCTTTAATCAATGTTTATACTTGCACAAAAGTAAGTTACAGACATGTGATGAGTAATGAGATAAGAAATGTACACACACCTACGCGCACATTACAGTGATTGTTCACAGTGTAAATACTCTTCATACTTTTTGCTTGTATTTTCCCATTGTTGTTGAGGACTGTATTTGATCAGTCTCTTGTTGACATATGTGCATCCTGTGAGGATTATCTCAATATTGCCTTAAATCACTAGCTTTATAAGCAAAGATGGATATCAATTGATTTTAAACTTCATTCCATTGCACAATCAGCTGGCTAAGAGGATTCAGTAGCTAAGTGGACGATGATTACAGTGAATGTTCACAATTTGTAGTTTGTAACATGAACTGGCTTTTGATTAAACAACTATAGTGTGAATTCATTCGGTATTGTTTGTTTGAACAGTCTCATTATTGTTTAGGATTTCAACTGATTAATCTTTTGTTGACATGTATGTATCCTGTGCGGACTGTCTCGATATTGTCTTCAGCCTCAAGATTTATCAGCAAAAATGGATATCAAACGGTTTTAAACTCCATTCTACTGCCAAGCAGGTGACTATCAGCATTCAGTACCTAATTCTTACAACGCGGTGGAGTTTCAAGTGAACGCCACCGGGTTCGAATCCCGGGGTAAACATCAAATCTGAGATGCAGGTACATGCAGCTGACAAATCTCACATAGTAGGAAACACGCATTCTGAATTCCACTGCTGGCTATTAACCATCTTGCTGACAAAATTATAGTGCGACTTTTCGGTTTTTATAAATGAACACTATTTATTCTAAAAACAATACTATTTTCAAAAGGAGCTAGAATATAGAAGTATTTCTGAAAGCCCAGCAAGAATTAGTAAACTATAGAGTTCAAATATGCAGATCATTGGAGCATGGTCACCAATGGTGATGAAATCATGTTGCACTTTGTCAAAGATCGACTGAAGTTTAAATCATCAACCAAAGAGTCTCATACTAATATTAGCGAAGATTTTAATCATACTGTTGTTGATATTCAAGACTGAATTTTAATCAACCTTTGTTGATATATGTAAATCCTGTGGGGATATTTTTGATATAGCCATTGCGAAAAATTACTTGGAAAAGCTAGTTATAAATAGTAATAGAGTCTAGGAGTCCTATTTCGTCCCATTCAGAAGTCGTCAGTTGTATGTACATGTATTTCAGAGCAAGTGTTCTCAATCAATAAGTAAGTGACAATCTAAACTCAGACATTCTATGAATCAAACATCAGCGTTTAGAGAAAAAGGTAATTATTTCAAGTTCAGATGTCAACAACTGCACTAGGATGTGAGTATATTCAGCTAGCGAATCTTAAACTGGACGAGACAGGAGTTTTAAATTTTACTAAGTTGTCTAATGTTAGTCACTCCTCAATAGACGTGATGATACATGATTTAATTCCTTAATGTTAGGCAGTAAATACTCTCCACTGTGAAGTTTTGTGCGAATATAAAAAGAACTGTTCAGTAGAACTTAATCTCTAGTACTTGCCTGACAATGGTCAATCTATAAAGTGTACGTTAGAAAAGGAATGTCATGTATAAGATGTATATCATTTCGTTGTTTCTCTTTTTATTAGATACAATCATAAGACAGTTGGATACTCTACAGCAGTGGATTTGTCAGGAGCTGTACAAATTCACTTATTGATGATGATCATTTGAATGTAATTAATAATAACGAAATAAATCGATCACTCAATCAACCTTATTTGGTAGGTATTTTAAAAAATATTTTGATCTACTTATATTATTCAAGTAGTTATGAAATTAATAATAAAACTGATGGTATTGTATAGTATAAACTAGATTAGAAGTAAAATGATTGATGAATGAAACCAATTAAGGCAAACATTTTACACATATATCAGGAACTAACTGTAAGATTTAAATGCGTCACCAAGGGAATGGATGGTTTTTTTGACATTTAATACAAGGTTCTTGAACTATCCAGCTGTAATGAACGGGGACATAGGCGTGGATAACCGAATGGCTATGAATACAACATTACAGAATCTTTTAATAAAATCTGAGAATCACACTGTAAATACTTCAGTTACAAAGTTTCAATCAACTGTTTCTGACTTGATTTTTCCTTTCTTTCCACACCAATCATTCTCTGTCCTCGTTCTCTTCTCTTCAATCTGCATAACCTTCTGTCGACAGACATTTCACTTATATTTGTCGACATCGGTAGCACACAACACAAATCAAGCCTTAGTTGTAATACTGAAGTATTTAAATGGTATACTAGACATGAAGAATTCTGAAGTGAGATAACAATTATTCATGTTAAATACGACGTGAATAACAGATACTCTATTCATCTTAATAATTAAGTGGTTGAAATCTATTCAGCTTTAGGTAAATGCAAGCAATAAATAGTTGACAAGCTTTTTTCTATTTTCTTTTGAACGGTATTTAGAATGATCGCGTAGTTCCTATAAATCTACTTGAAGATTACGTAACAAATAATCCTATTTTACATGGGCAACAATCAACTTTACATGAGAAATTTTGTTGTGAATATAAAAGTAAGTGATCACAGGATCAATAGAGTCTCCCTATGTTCACTGTGTGACAGCTTCCCCTTAATGCTATTTCACAATAGTTGTGCAATGAAGCCAATTTATCGGGGTGAGATACATAAAACGTTTGATCCGGACCTAAGGGTATAAAAGGTAATCGTTCTATGAGTGACTCAGAAGTTCCAAGTTCCATCTGTGATGGTTTCAAGGATATGTGTTGTTGAGGAATTCCATATCACGGCGAAACTGGCATCTGAAACTTCTTGATTTAATTAGTTATCTGACTATTATTAGTTTTTAACATAAACCACGAAATTCCTTGATGGTATATTTTACTGAAGAAAGCATTTACGTCGACTTCTGATGTAGAAAACCAGTTAGTAAACGCTTTTATAACTTTGAAATGAGCACTCTTAGACTGATCAACTTCTATAGGTGTATCAATTGTCGGTGTAGATTTACCTCAGAGTACGATTGAGTACGGAAAGGAAAGACGCTAGATGTTGTTCATAATAATGTCATGTATTACATCACTATGATTTTATTTATACATAAATTACAATAGCAAGAAGAATCAAGAAGTTAATAAAATTAATAATTACTCTAAATCGATGAATCAGAGATGCATTAACAGCTGATACATTGGTGTCAGTATACTGATCTCCTCTATTTATTAAGTATACATTTAAATCAACTGCTGTATTATCATTGTTCCTTCTTAAATTGAATTCGAAAACAGACCTAACTATATGAAATATTTTGCATCTAACTAAGATTGTCAATGAGACTATAATTTGTGGACGACCGTTGAGCAAACATTAAAGTGACTTTGAGAGTGTCCACCTAATAACTAAGACCTAATGGAGGTTACAAAGCTGTGTGAAGAACTCGAATTATAATTTACAATTGACGGTTAAGGTTAGGAATTAGATTTAGTGTTTTCATCACGAATTGACATCAGCTATAACGCCTAGACACTATTTGCCCAAATGAATGGGATGAATTTCGCGGCAAAATCCGAGACCTATTATCATATAGCTGATCGGTTCGTTCATAAATTATAGTCTCCCCAGAATGTCTTATTATTCATTATCAACAATTGAATATATAGCTTGATCAAACTATTCTCGTTTTTGATTGATTTTTCGATGAAAGTCAGTTTATGATGTACAATTACGTGGTGTGTGTGTGTACGTGTGTTTGTGTTTTGTTATGTAACTTAGATAATACTTGTCAAAATCAGTTAAACAACAATTTCAATATTCAATCTGAATCAAAATGTTCCACATGTTCAAACAGAAAACTTTTAATTCTACCTAATCAAACCAATAATGATCATGATAGTTATGTATATGATTGTTGTGAATTAAAACAAGATCCTTTTCAATATATCATCAATTCAATTTATGACAGTAATAATTCTAATTGTACAATAATATCATTTCTTCAAAATGATAATCATAATCATAATAATAATCGTGATGAGAAATCATTCAATTCAAATCAAACTCCTTTATTGAATTCAATTTATACAAATGAGTTTTGTTTAAATGAATTAATGTCAAATTCAATGATCAATAATCCATATTCATCGTATTTCAAATATCATACGAAAACTTATCCAATTCAAAGATCATATGATACAATCCGTCATAATTGTATGTTATACTCTAATACAATCAATGAAAATATTCATCTGTTTAATAAACCACAACAACAACAACAACAGAATTGTATTCATTGTATATTGAAATGTGACAATTCAGTTTTAGCGCCTAAATTAAACGAAACTATTTCTTATTATGATGATGATAATAATAAGAGTATTAACAAAATGAATGCCAATACTATCCATTAGATAGAATGAATAGAATGTGTAAATATAATCATTTCAATGAATAAATGTTAAGATATCTGTGAATAAAACTATTCTATACTGAATGTTATCACATCTATTTTCATATGAAATATATAGTTGAATAGTTTATCTAATTATCAGAAACGTTTTGTGAAGATATTAGAAATTCAACTGATTGAAATCATGAGTCAATTAAATCTAGATTATAATGAGAAACGTGAAAAACATAGAACGCCATTTCGTCCTAGTATGACACTCCTCAGCAGTGCGCATCTGCTATCCGGCACCTCGCGAGATTCTAACTCAGGACTCACTGAAGACAATGGTGTACGGTGGCGCAACTTCGTGATTGGTTGAAGTTAAACATTAACATCTCTGGGTGGCGGCCCGGGGGTCTAGTTGGTTAAGCGCCTGATGCGAGACTCATAGGTCCTGCGTTCGGATATGTTGAGGCGCGGGATCGTGAATGCCCACTGCTGAGGAGTCCCATACTACGACGAACCGGCCGTACAGTGCTCCCAGATTTTCCATGGTGTTCTAGCTTCAATTGACTCATGATTTCAATCAATGAAGTTTATCTAATTACCCATTAAATGTTTTTACTTTTATAAAGAAATGTGATAATTAGATGTAATTGAATAATGGTAAAAATTAGGATTGCCAGAAATATTACAATTTAACCAAGTTGTATTAGATGAATATGATCGAATTTAATGTATATGACATGTCAAATCAACTAGTCGTCAAGTTATAAAGGAATCATTAATTCATACAATCACACTATATCTAACACAGCTTAAATTGAAGTCTAAGTTCCAGTAACCAAATGTATGTATTTTCCCTAATTTCATCCTATATCTGTCCGACAGTGTACGGAATATAAAACTCTGCACTATATAGAATGTACTCACTAGTACTAGAATTAGAAACTGAAATTGGAACGGAATCACCTGGGTCCTGTAATTATATACAACCATCACGTCAGTTGTGTGGCACAACTACGGATACCTAGAATTTGAAACATAGATTTTTTCAACAGTATCCTCCCTCACGAAAGAATGTGAGGTACTTACGTCTCAATGTCACGACCAATATGACCTTCACAATTCTTATTATCACCTCATATCCCACGCATTGATTGATATAAGTGAGCGTCTGGCGACACACAACAACATATAATTTGAGGATTTCGATCATGTGTATTTGACGTGCATAAAAAAAACAAGAATTCCTTTTCACATTATGATACACAGGAAAATATGTATTCATATGCATAATTACCACATGTGGTTCATCCACGAATAATATATAGGCAATACAATCAAAAGAAAAACATGTATCTGCAACACAGTTATTAGCATCACCTCTGTCTATATGTTTCAGCGTATTGTGTTCATCAGTCGTCAAACTCCCAACTAGCCTTGAAAAATCCAACTGAAGGCATGCCTTAAGACACATTTAGCTGCTTTCCTCAATGTGTGACCTATACACTTCCAGCGTTTCTTCTTGATTTCTTCCTCCGCTGAAATGTGGTTTGTTCTCTCCCACAGTAGGTTGTTGCTGATAGTGTCTTGCAGACGAGTCCGAAGTATTTTGTGTAAACAACTGTTAATCAACACTTGTATCTTCTGGATGATGGCTTACGTAGTTCTCCAGGTTTCCGCCCCACACAGTAGAACTGTCTTGACATTCGTATTGAAAATCCTGACCTTGGTGTTGGTTGACAGTTTTTCTCACTTCCGGATGTTGTAATTATGCTGCTCTTGCTTTGCTGATCCACGCCTCCACATCTGCATCAACTCCACCGCGTTCATCAATGATGCTGCCCAGATTTCTGAAGGTATTTACACCCTTCAAAGCTTCTCTGTCAAGTGTGATGTGATTATTGCATGCTGAACATTTGATTTGATATCAGGATTTGATTCTTCTGAAATATTTTCTTCAAATTTATTAGGAATTTCATTGGTGAGTAATGGATCATTAGAAAAATCAGCGTTTGTCAAAAGTGCATAAGGATTTCGCTCATGATTAGATTCACTCGACATATTTTTCTCAAATTTCTAGGAGATTTTATCAGAAATATGTGAATCGTCGGGACAAATTGAATCTGGTGCAATAACATGAGAAATCCGATAAGATGTTGATTGATTAGAAACTTTTGTCTCACAAACATTCAGACTGCCATTTAAGTCTGGATCGCTATATGAATGTATATTGCTTTACGAAATCATGTATAAAGATAAACTATCATTAGAAATCGTCAACTAAGTAGGATCACAATTACAGAATTTAATTTTAGTTGCAGAAAAATGAACAGCAGTACTGCAAACTAACTGAATGTGTCCAATCTCACCACATTTAAAACATTTCAAATTACGAAATACACTAGAATGATATGCGTGAAACTTGCCACAGAACAAACATTTACCAAACTTGTGCTTATATTTGTGAACTGTCTCACAACTCAATGATCTTTTATCTGAATAAGCTCGATTACGCACTGGACTGTGACGGCGTGATGTTGTGGTACTACTGATGCTCTGAAGAATCATTTTAGGAACATTTACTCATTTAACGGCCTCGAAATTTGTATACTTTATATGGTCTAGTAGCAGTTGCTTCAGAGTTGCATAACGAAGAGAAATCGGCTTGTCAGGAGATGCAAATGTCTCTATTTAGCTGTATGCTATTTTTCGGATGAATGGAAGTAAATGAGCCACAATATTGACATCCTCAACTACGTCCTTGGTTATAGTCCAGATTTCCAACCTTTCCATGTAATTCGCAAAAGCATCAAATCTGAGTGTATGTTCAACCGTTCTATCACAGGCTACATTGGGACGCATATGTGATGATTGGGAGTATTTCAATCGTGGTACGAACCAGGAATCCCAGGAATAATGCAATAAAACCAAGAACAGATAGATCAGCACGAACGAAAGTATTGTATTGGAATTGGAAATCAAGCAGTCAACAAGTACAAGGGAATCATTAGTTCATAATAACTAGTTGCTAATAAGTAGTAAAGGTAGAAAACCTGATTGATGGAATTCCATCAGTATTTAATTCCTAGACAAACAGGACATCAACAATTGTGCGTTGATCAATAAATATAAACATCTCTGTCCTACACGATGTCAGTTGTGTTTACAGTAACGTAGCAGTAAATTTTCATACTGCGAAATTGACTGACATGAGTTTGAATTACACGAGGAGTATTGGTTTCTTCAAGATTGAGAGTATAACATACCGACTTGTACGAACTACTATGAAACCGGACTACACGATTTTCTGCCGACAGTCTACAAACACCGAACATTGTCTAGCTCAATTAAATTATCTCCTTAATAAAATCATCCAAAACGATGAATCTGAGATTGGCAAGACAATGCAAACCTGACATGCTATTTAAATATTCAACTGCGAATGCTTCTTTGCAAAAGAGCGCATTTCAAGTCTATGGAAAAGTGAGGGCAAACTTCAGCACCAAATGACATGTCAAAATGTATTCAACCTCACGTAAACTTTGATCGCTCACATTGAACCATGATATGCAACCATAATCAATATTCAGTGAAAACATACATTTGGTCAATGGTAAAATGTGTTTATTCAGAATATCGGATGAGGATGAGTTTATCCGCCACAGTGATTGATATAAAATGGAACACAGAACGTGATGTGGATTTTATCACCAGGATGATTCACCACAGTCTCATAGACCGATGTACACAGAAAGTAATAACTATTCGAGTTTCAAAGAATCAGGATTATCAATGCGCGATCCATAAATCGATAAACTGAGGAAGTGAGAGCTAGATGATTCTGTGAGGAAACAACCACTAAACTCATGTGAAATTAGACGGTGAATGGCTACAGTGTTTATTCATAGATGGAGCACAGCCTTCTATGAATTGACAGCCGAGAGATTTGTTTTCACTTCATTTTATTTATAGAAAGTAGTAATCTTTTGAAAAATGATAATTTCACTCATCTTTTTTCTGAACGTGTGGCTAATTATCAAGTTATTATTAGAAATCGTTGTTTTTTTGCTCTAAATAAGATTCATATTACGCCCACTATACATAATAGATGATATGGAATAATACCAAATTATTTGATTAATGAGATGGCGTGAGGTGACTGACGACAACACAGTTCTAATCATTGATATTTCTGTCAATAACTGAGGTCAACAGAAATATGTTTTTGTTAATTAAATGGTCAAATAATTTACACTGAGATTAAAGAAGTGATAATATATTTTACTTTAAATTTATGCACAGAATGTAACAGAGATGATAGAATTCGGTGTAATGTTATAGTTGATCAAGGGAATCGGACAGAATTTCCAATTTTTCAAATCTTATTCCTGGATGCACAGCGTTCGAAACCCATTGCAACAGTAGTCCGATGAGAGAAGGTTGATCAAAAGAGATACATCTTAGAGTTGGAACATTTCATTTCCGAGTGCGTGCAATCGTTTTCGTAGTTCTGTTTTGCAGTGTATTTTTGCATAATGTCGATTGTTGTGAGATAATTGTCCTCATATTGAATATAGATCAGATAGAGGCGAAAGTAATGAGTGGCATTTACAAATTGTCGAGTGAAATGTGTTGATAAAATCAAGGTGAAATAAACTGTTGAATTGGTTATCCTTGGATGGTGAGCGGGACTGTCATCTGTCAACTACGTTTGCCTGTGTTCTTGAGTCGAACTCCATTAGGATCAGTTACAGTTATTACAATTTCCAATGGAGAGATCGGTCTTTAGGTCAGGCTTATATAGCTTCACTACTGTGTACATAATTATTTTCCTAATTCAACTGAATCAGTTCATATTGTGGAATGTGTACAAAATTCAGTTTGATTGACAGGCATAAATCGAATTGAGTAAAACACTGGTTGACAAATAAGATTTTACACGATAGAAAGAAGCCAACGTTTTGTAGTGTGCTAAATGATTATATGAAAACGTCTATCATCTGAAGATAATCTGTT